TTCACCCCTCGAAGGCCCATCCTCACTGTTAGGCCTCCCCTGCTGGTTTCTTCAGTCAAGGGGTATGAGCGGTTAATCCACCGAAGGGAATACAAATGGCCAGTGAAATGAGTCCCAGAAACAAAGAAACACAAACTCAGAGGATGGCAGCTCTACCCTTCCCGTTGCTCAGCCCCAAACTTCTTGGACTATCTCATCTTTGTCTCCGCTCTTCCTCTCACGCCCACCCCTGATCCATCAGCAATTTTCCGCATAGGNTCAGCCCCAAACTTCTTGGACTATCTCATCTTTGTCTCCGCTCTTCCTCTCACGCCCACCCCTGATCCATCAGCAATTTTCCGCATAGGTTCCGTCTGGCCACCTCCCACCGCGTTCCTTGCCGCCACCCTGACCGCACCTACATCAGAATGCGGCCGCTGCTTCCTGCGTGGTCCGCCTGCTGCCACCCTCGCTCACCTCGGCCTAGCGTCAATATTTCGGCCAGGGTGATCCCCCGAAGCCAGGACATGCCAGTCCTCCTTTTAAAATCCTGCGGTGGCTCCTAATTCAGAATAAAATCAAGACTCCACAGTGGCCTAGGAGCCCCTACATAATCCGCACCTTCCTGTTATCTCTGCGGCCTAATCTTCCACAGCGGCCTCAGCCCCACTCACAGCTGCGCTGCTGTTCATGGACCATGCCCCCTCTCCCTTTCCCACGCTGTCCTCAGGGCTCCTGCGCCATTTATTCTGTCTGCTTGGGTCACTCCCCTCTCGACTACCCCACTGTCCTTTTATAACTCTTTATCTAAAAGTCACCTTCTCAATGAACTGACCCAGACCCCCGCACATCTAAATTTCCAGTCTACGTTCCCTTGATCTTCCCTGTCCTGCCCTGTTTTCCACAGGACTTCACATACTATATATTTTGCTTATTTATTATGTGTATTCTCCACCCACTAGAATTTGAGCTCCATGTGGACAGAGATTTTTGTTTGTTTTAGCCCCTGGTGTAAGCCAGAGGATTTAGAATGAATGAATGAATGAATGAATGAATGAATGAATGAACGAATGAGTGAACGACAAAAATGCCAATAACAAAGACTATGTTTGTTAAATGTTGAACATAAAGCATAGATTAATGCTAAAAAAAAAAAACAAAATAGAGTTCTCGTGTTTTCTTAAATAAATATATAACACCAAGGTGCAAGAGGACTTAATTTGAGGAATANTGAACGACAAAAATGCCAATAACATTGTTAAATGTTGAACATTGTTAAATGTTAAATGTTTAACATTGTTAAATGTTGAACATAAAGCATAGATTAATGCTAAAAAAAAAAAACAAAATAGAGTTCTCGTGTTTTCTTAAATAAATATATAACACCAAGGTGCAAGAGGACTTAATTTGAGGAATACTTTTCCTTTTGGGTTGAATTCAGACAGTTGAAGGACAAATGTGTGCAAATTAAAGACAATACTCTTCAAAAATAAAGACAACACTCAACTCTTCTGACCCTCTCCTGAACTTTGGCATTTGTTTATCCAAGCAATCGACTGACTCTTTAGAATTAGGTATTTTGAATTATACTTTGGTAATTTGTAACTTTTATTTACTGTAGTGATTAGTTAAGGACAAAAATATAAAATGCTAAAAAAAATTAAATAGGTGTTAACTACTACTTAACAGTGGATGGAAATGCTGTCAGATCTAAATACTCAAGTCCCCTAGTTTCCAGCTGTTTTAAGCCTCAGAGCAGAGTGGAATCTGTCCTGAAAATTGTCCCTACAAAGAAGATCGTTAGCAGCAATTGGGAATGCACAGGTTGGCTCCAAACTGGCTAATCTCCGTGCTGCTGCTCCAGGAAAAACTTTTTTCCATAATTACAGGAGATTGCAACTGTGGAGAAATAAGGAAGTAGATATTCTGGAAATATAATTTTAGAGACAGAGAAACCAACTGACAGAGGAAACAAAGCTATCTTCTCTCATCCACAAACACAGTTCAGTCCTGCTATCTTGTTCTGTGAATATCTGAAAAAGAGATAGTAACTGCTCACATTTCGAATTCGAATAAAATTACCTTTGTGGTTTCTGGCAACCCTGATTTGTTTAGGGTTTCTGTACATGTGTATATACTTATGTAAAACTACTTTACTGTATTCAGGCTTTTGGTGCATATTTTAACATTGTACATTTTTCTCATTTAAAAGAAATACATGCTCATTATAGAGAATTTGTACTTAAAAGGTACAAGAAAAAAATAAAATCACCTATAATTTCACCAAATCATTAACATTTTGATGTTATTTCTCCTCAGTCTGTGCTTGTAAAGTGACTCCAACCCTCCATTCAGATTACCAAGAGTTTGTCTTTCCTCTCTACCCAGGGGCCTCTAAACCTTCTTGACATGACCAAGAGGTCAGCCCCCTTTGTTTATCATGCCTTCATGGAGAGAAAACCAAGACTTTTAACATCGACTAAAGGGCTCCTTTTGGGGGAGTGTTGCCTCTGTTGCAGCTAAATTCAGGACGCTGGAGCCAGGCCAGTGCAGCACAGCAGACACCGAGGGCAGGGAGGGAGGGGCCTCAGCCAGGTAGGAGAGTTTGGTGGTTGAGAACACCCACCACTGCAGGACACGCGAGTCTCACTACCATGGTCACTGCCATTTTGGTAGAAGGAGGGCTCAGAAGTAAAGGAAGCCACTTTCCTAGTGATGTTGCTCCGGCTCTGGAATAGCAGCCTGGCCTCCCCTTGATGTCATGTCACCCTTTCTATTGACCACTCCCACCCCATGAGACACACTGGCTTTCTGTTGAGGAATGTCCGTGTGCTGAAGTGTTTGGGTCAGGAAGGGGTTAACACCAGCCACACATTTTGCCTCAAACCGGCCTTTTCTTAGCACAGTCATAACCTTGGTGTTGGGCCCAGTCCCAACCATCAACCAATTTAAGCACAGCCTTATTTGTGCCACAGCATCAGTGGATCTGTGCAATAGAAATACCAGTGAGGTTGCCTCAGGTCCCTGAAAATCCGACCGTGCAGTGAGAGATTGTGTCACTGGAAAGGAAGACAGATCTTTTTCCATTTGCCATGTAAATATCACTGACTCCTAGTTTTCAGTCCGCTCTATCGTCCACCATTCTCTTCTGTTCTTTATCTTTACTTATCCGTAATGATTCAAACAGATTGCTGAAGGGGAGTTATTATAAATTGTTTTTTACTTATTAATAACAATATCAAAGACCATATTATAATTAGGTAGCAATTTTTAAATCACCAAAAAGCAGTCAATGAGTGATTATCATTGTCAGCACCATCGCTTCATCGTGGTCCTTAGCCACAGCTTATTTATGAAGGTATAATGTCTCCACAGTGTCATCATACACTCCTAGCAGAAAAGCGTTTTGAACATAAACAAATTACACTTACAAAAGTTCCTGAACAAAACACTTAAATATATTTTGAAATATATACAAAACTTAAAATCAAAAGATGATACACACACACACACACACACACACACACAAAACACACACATTTGCCTGTATGTATAAATATATATATAGGTACATTTTAATACATGTATATGAATATACAAGCTCCTTTTTTTTTTTCTTTCTGCATCTCAGGGAAAATTTATATGTAACCATTTTGAAAACTATACTGGCTAAAGAATATACCTTTTGCCTCTAAATAGATTACAACTGAACCTGAGCGTTATTGACACAGTGAGAAGATAAGTCTACGGAGAACATCTAGATTACTCATAAAAACAGCAACCAGTACCCATGAATAAATAAACCAATAAAATACATACAAAGGTTTTGCGCAATGGTTGATCTCATACCTAGAGATTCTATAGAAGAAAAAGGTAAGGATACAAAAGCGTTTCTTGTTCAGGGAGATCACAGTGCTTCAAGAAATATGTGAAGGAAAGAGTGGCCCTTCTGGACAAAGCATTGGTGGGATGAAATTCCTGGAGTGAAAGAGCGTGGGTGAAAACTTGGTCTTGTGAGTGAAAAACCACATGAAAGTCTAATGCAAACACCAGATGGCCTGAGAGAGAGAGGATGATTTTATAAGTCTTAGGAAGACACTGGACATTTGCAGGACACTTACGTTCCATCAGTTTTCTAGATTATTAAGGGAAAATCAAGTTTCAGTCTCTATTTCCTCTTTATAGAGTTCCTTCTAATAATACCGCTTCAGGCCAATCCTTTCAGAAGGAATAAATGCAGATTCGTAATCCAATAAAGTTAAAAAGATTTCCATTGGTTACTTTCTTCCTCTAAAGGGAATACTTATCTTGGGGATAACAGAGCACAGACATCAATAACTTTGCAGGAAACTTGAATTTGCACAACAGCGATAGACATCAGAAGTGGCCTTTGGGGGAAATAGTTGGAAACAAGGTTGAAAATTCCAACTCAATTTTTTTTCTACCCTAAACTTAGAATATAAGTCTTTCTTCTCAGTGCCATTTGTTCCCCATCTTTGGCCCCCACTGAAGATGTCCATCCCATTATCCTAAAAGGTTTTTGAAAATTATTCCTGGAGGTATTGCTCCTTCCCTCAGCTTCTATCTTTCCTCTTTCCCTCCCCAGCAGAGCGCAACCAGAATGGTGACCTGCCCTGGGTTTGCTGGCCCTTCAGAAAAGGTGGAAGAAGGGCACAGTTCCACTCACACGCATGAACTCCATCAAACTCCTGGGCGTTTTTTCTGAAATGTTTACACTACAGGCACCTGGAGCACACTGACTTTCCCCTTCAAATATTTTGATTTTTTTTTCCTGTTTGGTGGCTGCTGCCTCCTCCTTACTCCCTGACTTAGGTCAAGATAAATGAGTTTTCCACCAGGAAATCCATTTGAATCTCTGAGGTTTTGAACCCTAATCCATGATATCTAGTCTATTGACTTTGAGTTTTCAGGGGTTCACTTTACCCCTACCTTGACTTCGGCCTTCTACAGTTCTGTACCTTCATGAGCCATAAGAGTCCTCTGCCAACCTCTTAGCTGCCTCATTGTACTACTTCCATATACATTTTGCAGATAAAAGATCAAATGGTAGAAACTTTTGACAAACTTTCCACAACCAGAGAAGAGAATGTGTATGTGGGAATTAATGATGTACTCATTCATTTTACTCTATAGAAATGCCCTCCAACACTGGACCTCTATTCATTCTTCCAAGATATCTCAGGAGAGCTTTCAGTCCGTGGTATTGGTTTCGATATAGAAATACTGAGAGAATAATCTGAGTAATCAGTTTCCAGTATGGTAGGATCTGGGGGTTTGGAGAGGTCTTCTTTATCTATCACAGTCCTTAGAATGATATCAATAAAGATTTCTTCCTTAATATTATAGTGATAATACATTCTAAATGATATATTTTAAATCTAAAATTGAAATCTAAGGTATGACATGAAGGGACAGAACATGTTATGCTCAAAAAAATGAAATGCTTAAAGAAAGTGCCTATCCTTAAAGTCTGAGCAAACCCCTTGAAGTGGTATCCTCCAGAATGGTATCAGTCCTTCTCAACTCCACGTGAATTAGTCTTAGTATAACATCACTTTTCTGCTTTCAACTAGTTGCAATAAGGGAAAGGACATTTGTTTTAAAATGAAGAGAAGGTAATCATGAAGTAGGAGCTTTGCCCCCAGCAGGCTTGACCTGGCAGAAAATGAGGACACCTGGGAAGGTAACGGTCAGGGGGTCAGAGGGAAGGATTTGCCAGAATGGACGAACTGTGCCTTCGCTCCTATGGACCATAGTCTCCAGACAGCAGAAACCTCAGTCACCCTGGTGCTTCTGAAGGCCCAGGGGACGCGCTCAGGTGGAGCCCTGGGTCTTCCTCCTCCACGATCTTGGCCAAAAGCATCAACCTCTGAAGAGTCTCAGTGCTGTTAGAGACTTCCTGGCTAGGAGTGACTGCCTGCTGTGGACAAAAGGTAAAAACAAACAACATAAGAACAAATCAAAGAGGCCACTTACTCAGGGAGCTAGACAGCTAAACCAGCCCACACTTCCACAAAACAACAGTAGCTTAACAGACTTCTTAAAATCATGTTCTTTGGGGAGGGAGGTTATTTAATAAAGTTAAAGACACAATGCAGTTTTACAAGGCATTTTTTCTTCAACTGTGTCATTTACTGTTTTGCTTAAGGGGAAAAAGTCTTTTATATTCTTGCCAACAAGAGAAGTAGGGGGAGGACAACGAAGGAATGTTATATTTTGGATTCTTCTCTGGATAACCCGAAATGAAAGAATTGGCAGAATGATATGGAAATAATGGCAGATAGTCCTGCTGGCCCCACACTGGACTCTATCTTGAAAAGTCTGTTTATTAGATTATGCAAAGGCTCTTAAAAATTCAAAGAACTCGTCCTTTGACAAACCATTTTCCGTCATCTGGTTAGGATTGCTGGGCCAGCTAGCTCAGATCTGCATTTCCTCCCCATGTGCTCTGCAAACCATGGGAGGAGAGGTCATTATTTTGCAGGAGTCAGGAATGAAATGCAATTACGGGGCCTGCGTGCAGGACGGATGATACCGTCCCCCGGCTGGCCAGCCGGCATAGAAGGCTGCTTGTCTGAGTTCAGGGGCTGCTGATTGAATTTCGCCAGGAATATGCTATAAGGGCCTTATCGGCCAGCTCTTCTCGTCTGTTTATTTAGAAAGAAACCATTGTGTGATGTGGTTATTCCAATGAGGCCTGCAGAGCAAGTGCTGCCTTTGACATGATGAATCGGCAGTGCGCTCGGGGTCCGCGCGGGTCCCAGAGGCCCGCTGCCCGGGAGGGGAAGGCTCAGCCGGGCCCCTGCGCCTCTGAAAGCCAAGCCGGCAGATCTGGAGCTGGAGAAAGAATTTGCTGTCCTCGGTCTTAGCCCATCATATTTTGGTGGGGGAGAGTTTATACTCAGAAATCCAGTGTGTTGGAATGCTGGAATAACAGTAATTTTTGGTAATTTGCCTGGGTTTGCATTTGTGCTTTCTTTGGCCTAATCTGCTTAATTGAGACCTGAACTCTGGCTGGCCGCCAGCATCCACAGGCCATGTGGGCACCAGATCCATTTACCTCTATTTCTGTCGACTGAAAAATGACATTCCTCCCACTCTGTTAGCCTCTCACCCAGGGGAAAGTCATATATTGAAACGACTTGCCTGAAAGTAAATTAAAACTCGAAATAAATATAGGGAGCGAAAGTATCTGTTTTCACACTTATCCCTCATTCTTTAAAGACTGAGATGTGTTAACAAACACCCCATCTGAAAAGAAAATCAATAGTGAGCAAAAACTGATTGTTATTGACCAGAAGGGGTTTACTTTGAAAGAAACATTCAAACACATATTGACATACCTGCCTCCACGTTCAGGCAGCAAGAGGAACCCCAGACAAGTGTCTTGCAACATCACTTAACTCCAGAAAAGGAGAGAAACGTGCACTGTGGAGCCTCACACGAGACAGAGTGAAGGATCTGTTTTAGAGATGCAAGCAAGGTGCTCAGAGAGGAAGTTCATTCTGTTCTGGGAGCTGGGGAAGATTCATGGAGGGGCCCCTTCTGAACTGAAACCCTCTCCCACCCAGAGCAGCCTCACACACATGCACTGCACAAACAGCACAAAATGGAACACTGTTTTCACTTCCCAGTGGGTCAGAACATATTTGTATATGTGTATGTATGTGTTTATATGTGTGCATATATATGTATATATACTTATAGACAGAAACTGCTGGTTTTTTAAAAATACTATCTTTAAAATTGTACCTCTTTTAAATTGTTGAGACACTGTGATAAATTTATTAGAAAAAAATAGTGGACAATTAATGGAGATATATATTCAACAATTTTGTATAATGCAAGTTAACTATACTTAAAAATATGTACTATAAATTAACTATATTTAAATATGTAGAACATATAAGCATATATTTGCCATTATTGATTAGCTTTATATATTTTTATTGAGAGAATACACATAATATTTCAGTGTCTATGGCTATAGGCAATAAGAGAAACTGTTAAGTTTCTGTTAACTTCTTTTTTTTCTTTCAGCAACACTACTACAAGGGTAATCGGCTTTGCTTTCAAATAATATGGTTGGAAACACAGGTGGCGTTTTCATGTCTCTTGACTTCTGTGAGAATGATATTGTTCGATTTGCACTATACTGTGCTTTACTGCCCCGCAAGACATTCCCTCGGGCCTTGGAAGAGCCTGCTTGTGCTGTGCGCTGGCCAGAGCCCCTGAGTTCCTCCCCCGGGCACCGCTGCCGCCGAGAGACGCTCTGCCCCGGGGCTGAAGGGCGTGGGAGAGAACACCAGAGAGCCGCGGAGGCTTCCCTTCCTGTGTTAAACAGAGTAGTGAACATGCATGAACGTGAAGGCTGCTTGAGTTTGGGGAAAGACCTTCCCAAAAGGCTCAGGAGGAAGTTCTTTGCGCTCACACAAAGCGGGTAGTGATGCCTGTTTCCACCGTCATACAGGAAAACATCATAATTCACCCAGCATTGGAGAGAATATTCAGAAGCGGGGTAATTAGTACCAGACTAAACACTGCTCTGGTCCCTCCTAACAAATCTTAAAATCAAGTCCTCAAAGGATCAAACTGTCTCCAAGTAACTCAACAGCATCCCAGAGAAAAGATCGAGAATATGTTTTTAAATGTTGGGAGAATATCCAGCACCCAAAAAGGTAAAATTCACTGTGTCTTACATCCAATCAAGAGTTACAAGGAATGTGAAGAAGCCAGAAAATGTAAACCATAATGAGGGGGAAAGTAAGTCAAAAGATTATGCATTGCAAAAGGAAAGACTGGCAAACTTGGAAACATAGCCAGAGCCACTCTCTGAAGTAAAACAGAGAGAGAAAAACAGCAAAACAAATAAAAAAGTGAAAGCAACAAACAGCATCAGTGAGGTGTGAGATCACATCAAGTGATGCAATGTACACATAACTGAAGCTCTAAAGGACGTGGGAGAGTTTGAAGAAATAATGTCTGAAATTTTTTCAAATAAATAAAATACTGTAAATCCACAGATCCAAGAATCTCAATGAACACAAAACAAGAGAAACCTGCAGAAAAACACACCAGGGTATAGCATGATAAAATAGCTCGCAAAATACGTAAAAAACACAGGGCGTCCCCCCAGAAAGGTATACACACTTTGAATAATTATTAATTACAGTGGGTTAAATCTGCAAAGAAAGAAACATCAACTGAACTATCAGCCGTAAAGTGTGTATACATTTTTGAGGGACACCCTATACATTCGGAAAAGATTTTTCATTGAAAACAGTGTAAGTAAAAAGACAGTGGAAAAATGTTTTTAAAGTACTGAAGGGAAAAAACTGTCAACCTAGTCTGTCACCAAAAAACATTTTTTAAATGAAGAAAATAATTTTTAAGTACAGAAAAGTTTTGAAAAAAATGTATTACCAGCACCTTGAGTCAGAAGGAAAATGGTATCAATAGAAATATAAATCTATAAAAGAATAAAGAACGCCATAAATTATAACTATGTGGATTAGTATATAATAGTTTCCTTATTTAAATTTAATTAAAATATCATTGTTTAAACAAAAATAATTACAAAATCATGTGGGGTTTATAATATTGGTAGAAGTAAAATGTATGACGACAATTACGGGAGGGGAGAAGTGGAATTACCTAGGACAGAGTTCTTATAGTATATGTAAATATACCATCTGGAAAAGGTAGACTGTGGCAACTTAAAGATGCATACTATAAACCCGAAAGCACCCACTAAAACACCAAAACAGAGCTACTGTTAAGTTAGTAAAGAAGACAAAGTGAAATTAAAAATATGAAAGAAGGCAAAAAACGAGGAAAAGGGGAACAAAAATAGGATAAGTAGAAATCAAATAGCAAAACAGATTTTAATTTAACCCATAGTAATAACCACATGAAATGTAAATGGCTTAAATACCCTAATTAACGAGCAAAATTTGCTAGATTGGATAAAAAAAATCAAGACCCAAATATATTCTGTATATAAGATGTAGCATTACATACAGTGTAATGCAATTTAATACATACTCATATAAACAAAAAGATACACTGACTAAAGGAAAATGGATGGAAAAAGTTATATTATGCTAACACTAACCAAAGCTGCAAGTAGAAATAAATAATCCACAATTATAACTGGAGATGCCAGTATCACTCTTTTATTAATTAATAGAGCAAGTAGATAGAAAATCGGCAATGAAATAGAAGACTTGAATAACACTGTCAACTGACTTGCCCGAATTGACGTTTACAGAAGGACCACTCAACAACAGCAGAAAATACATTCTTTTAAATTTATGGAGCAATCACCAAAAGACACCATGTTGCGGGCCATAAAGCAAGTCTCAACATAAAGGGATGCAAGTCATTCAAAATCTTATCTCCGATCACAAGGGAATTAAATTAAAAATAAATAACAAAAATATCTGCGGGGAAAAAGGATAGAAAGAAGACTATAAGTTCATATTCTTTTAAATTTTAAAAGGTAATAAGGCATAATCCATGGAAGACATAACTGATGAGCTGAACTTTATTAAAATTGACATTTTCTGCTATGTGAAAAACACTGTCAAGAGAATAAAAGGACAGGCCACAGACTGGAAGAAACTATTCGTAAAAGACATATTTGATAAAGAACTGTTATCCAAAATATACAAAGAACTCTTAACACCCAACAATAAGAAAGCAAACAACCCAATTAAAAAAATAAGCCAAAGACCTTAAGGGATACCTCACTAAAGATGAGCAGACGGCAAATAACTATATGAAAAGGTGCTCCATAGCATGTCATCAGGGAAATGCAAATTAAAACAACCATGAGATACCAATGCACACCTGTTGGAATGGCCAGTCCCCAGAACACTGACAGCACCAAATGCTGGGGAGCGCGTGGAGCAACTGACA